TTACCTGTGCACAGTTATACAAGGCGGAGTCAGGGGGCGGGGTTTACCTGTGCACAGTTATACAAGGCGGAGTCAGGGGGCGGGGTTTACCTGTGCACAGTTATACAAGGCGGGGTCAGGGGGCGGGACTTACCTGTACACAGTTATACAAGGCGGAGTCAGGGGGCGGGGTTTATACAAGGTGCATTGATCTGATGTTGTGTGATGAATGATCTTCTTTTAGGTTTCCCGGCGTCGCTCTGAAAGGAAAGAAGTATACGCCGCTGTTTGATTATTTCTCCCAGGTATGTGTGTGACTGGTGACTGGACGGGCAAGATGGCGGCTGGAATGTTAATGATTGGTACCGGTGATCCCATGGTGGTACGGTGATCCCATGGTGGTACGGTGATCCCATGGTGGTACGGTGGTGGTACGGTGATCCCATGGTGGTACGGTGGTCCCATGGTGGTACGGTGATCCCATGGTGGTACGGTGATCCCATGGTGGTACGGTGATCCCATGGTGGTACGGTGATCCCATGGTGGTACGGTGATCCCATGGTGGTACGGTGATTCCATGGTGGTATGGTGATTCCATGGTGGTATGGTGATTCCATGGTGGTATGGTGATTCCATGGTGGCACGGTGATCCCATGGTGGTATGGTGATTCCATGGTGGTACGGTGATCCCATGGTGGTATGGTGATCCCATGGTGGCACGGTGATCCCATGGTGGTACGGTGATTCCATGGTGGTATGGTGATTCCATGGTGGTATGGTGATTCCATGGTGGTATGGTGATTCCATGGTGGCACGGTGATCCCATGGTGGTACGGTGATTCCATGGTGGTACGGTGATCCCATGGTGGTACGGTGATGGTACGGTGGCCCTGGTGCCGCCCTACAAAGCCAGATCTTGCTGTATGTGAGACGAGACGTGTATGTTTCTTTTGGATTGTGAACAGTTGATGTAATGGTTCTGCTCGGAGGTTGTGTCTGCTCGGAGGTTGTGTCTGCTCGGAGGTTGTGTCTGCTAGGAGGTTGGGTCTGCTCAGAGGTTGGGTCTGCTCGGGGGTTGGGGT